GAGCACACACACACACACACACACACACACACACACACACACACACACACACACACACACACACACACACACGGACGGAATGATTATTATATTCATGTACTGTGATATTTACATATTTCAAATAGTACCGTGGTACTACTGTCTTGGTACAAGTTCAAAACATTAAATAAGCAATTTAGATAATTGATATTATTCATTTTATACCACTTTATAGTTGCTGGGACTGTGTCTTATTAATTATTACAAATAATTTCATAAATTTGAATAAAAAATATGAAATAAAAAAATTAAGTTATTAATGTATTTTATTTATATTATGCCACTTTATAATGGCTGTCTTTAAAATAATTGAATTTGTTATATTAAAAAAGTAATTAATTACATTTAAAAATGATAATTTATATATATGTTATTTTATTATGCCACTTTATAGTTGCTGTAATAAACTGAAGAGTTTAGAATTGACTGTAAGTGTATTTTCTGTCATTTTCTTCCATCAGACGTTTAAGTTATTTGAGAATCTTGCAGAGCAGGACAGAGAGAGGGCAGCGAGGCTGGCGGAGGAGAAGAAAGCCGCTCCTCCTGCAGTACAGGAGCTGGAGGTTCGATCAGAACAGGAGGCTGAAGCTCCTGTGGAGGAGAAGAGGAGCACAGAAGAGCCCACGGCTGTCGCGGCACCATCAGCACAGAGCACAGAGACACACGGAGAGACTCAGAGCAGCACCGCTGAGCCAGCAGGAGCCGCAGCGCCATCAAACTCTGATTCTGACACAGCCAACGTGTATGCTTGACTTTTAGATCATTTGCTCCAAAAATATGAATGCTGAAAGACACTACTGTTCAAAAGTTTGGGGTCAGTGAGATCAAAAGTGACGGTTAAGACAATTAAAAATATTACAAAAGATTTCTATTTCAAAGAACAACGTATCACAATTTTGACAAAAATATCAAGCAGCACAGCTGCTTTCAACATTGATAATAATAAGAAATGTTTCTTGAGCAGTAAATCAGCATATTAGAATGATTTCTGAAGGATCACGTGACACTGAAGCACTGAAAATTTAGCTTTGCATCACAGAAATAAATATATTCAAATAGAAAACAGTTCTTTTAAATTGTAATCATTTTTGACAATATTTCAGTTTTTGTTGTATTTTTGATCAAATAAATGCAGCCTTTGTGAGCATAAGAAATTTCTTTCAAAAACATTTAAAAATCTTACCAACCTCAAACTTTTGTGCACTGTTTGGACCTATTAATAAGTTCTATTTCACATTTCCAGTAAACAAGATGGCTTTCAGTTGAATGCAGACAGTTACAATGGCGCGGTTAGAGAAAATTACACCTGGTCGCAGGATTACATGGATGTGGAAGTTCGAGTGCATGTGCAGCCTAACATCGTTAAAGGCCGACAGGTGAGTGTAACCTGCTGCCATCTGATTTTCTTACAGTTTGGCAGACTCTTAATTTAGATTTTTTTTTTCTTGCTGTCTACTCTTACCGCAAAGCTAGTTTGATAACAGTCTTCTTTCCGTTCTGTTTTTGCGTGCAGGTGTCTGTGGATCTGCAGTCGGGGAGGGTCCGCGTGGCCTTGAACGAGGGAGGATCGCAGAGAGTCCTGATGGAGGGCGAATTCACACACAAAATTAACACAGAAAATTCCTTGTGGAGTCTGGAGCCTGGCCGCTGCGTTCTGGTACACATTATTTGTGTATGGTGCATCTGAAATGATGATAGTCTGATGTATCAGCCGATTATTAGCCATTTTGAGACTGTGTCCGCTTGATAAAGGTTTTATCTCCTCATTGTCAGTTTCAGAATTCACTAACAGTCTTGTCAGTTTATAAGTACTTAGTTTTCAGATGTCTTTGTGAATTTTAAATGCAATTTCGGCAATTTTGTATTACTCTTAATTTAGTATTATTTATATATTATTATAGTAAATTCATAATTTTTATTTAATATTATTTATTTCAAGTTTTTTAAGCTAAACAAATTAGAAATGTTGCCTTGGCAACTAACTCAAATAAGTTAGTTTTTCATCTAATATTTATATTTCATTTTATTTCAGCAAAAATGTTTTAGTTGTTTTAGTTACAGGGTTTCTGTGGGTCTTAAAGTCATAATTCGCCCTTACTGTATACACAAATTGAGGCCTTAAAGGAACACTCCACTATTTTTGAAAATAGGCTCATTTTCCAACTCCCCTAGAGTTAAACAGTTGAGTTTTACCGTTTTCGAATCCATTCAGCCGATCTCTGGGTCTGCCGGTAGCACTTTTAGCTTAGCTTAGCATATGTCATTGAATCTGATTAGACCGTTAGCATCTCGCTCAAAAATGACCAAAGCGTTTCTATATTTTTCCTATTTAAAACTTGACTCTTCTGTAGTTACATCGTGTACTAAGACCGACTGAAAATGAAAAGTTGCGATTTTCTAGACAGATATGGCTAGGAACTATGCTCTCATTCTGGTGTAATAATCAAGGAACTTTGCAGCAGGCGCAATGATATTACGCAGCGCCTGAAAATAGGCTTATTGGAAGTTACCTAGCTGGGGACTATTTTGAGGCACTGCGTAATATCATTGCGGTCATTTTTGAGCGATATGCTAACGGTCTAATCAGATTCAATGATATATGCTAAGCTGCAGCTAAAAGTGCTACCGCCAGACCCGGAGATCGGCTGAATGGATTCGAAAACGGTAAAACTCAACTGTTTAACTTAGAAAAAAAATAGTGGAGTGTTCCTTTAAAAAGGTCATAAGATTCATAAGGTCATGGCATTAAATGTTGCATGCACTGCAAAAAAAAAAAATTAAGATCTTCCTCTGTATTTTTGTCTTGTTTTCCAGTACAAGTACAGTATAAACAACATAATTTTGAGTTACAAAATTAAGATATGAAGTCTTGTTTTTTGAGATACTAAACAAAATTAATTGAGTTTATTTTTAAAATAATAACAAATCTGTCACTGTGGTATAATTGTTTTCCTTGTGAAGTTTATTTGTCTTACCCCTTTGGCAAATATTTGTTCTTTTTTAATCACAAACTCACACAATTTCTCAGAAAACAAGACTTATCTTATGTCATTTTGCAGCTTGAGTAAATGTATCTTGATTTATGAATCTTTAGACATTTGCACTGAAAAGCAAGACATCACATTTTTGCAGTGTGAGCAGAAGGTACAGTAAAAGTTATTTCCATATTGTTTACTTGGTCTTAAAAAGGTTTTCAAACGTCTTAAATTTGCCTTCATAAAACCTGCAGAAACCCTCTAGTTAACAATAGCAACCCTGTTTTGAATGCATCTTATTTGCTGTCATTAATTTGTATTCTGTATACACTGTATTCTATCTCTAGATATTCTATGGAATTTTATTTGAATAATTTGAGGCAGTGTAAGATGGATACAGGTCTGATATATTTTGTTAGGAGTTGTAGACAGACAGTCATGATGGTCATTTGGACTTTTCCTCCAGCTGTCTCTCAGTAAAACCGGGGAGGTTTGGTGGAGCGCCGTGTTGAAGGGCGAGGCTGAGATCGATGTGAACCAGATCAACCGGGAACGCTCTATGGCAACTGTAGATGAAGAGGAGCATGCTGTACTGGACCGCCTGTCGTTTGACTACCACCAAAAACTCCAGGGGAAACCACAGAGCCATGAGATTGTGAGCAAGCAATGGAAATTATTTTCTATGTTGCTTCATTACTGCTCTGGAAAAGTTAGAATAGTTCACCCAAAAATGAAAACTGCTAAAAATGTACTCGCCCTTAGGTTGTCCGAGAAATGGATGAGTTTGTTTCTTCATCAGATCAGATTTGGAGAAATGCATCATTACATCACTCGCTCACCAATGGATCCTCTGCAGTGAATGGGTGCCGTCAGAATGAGATCTGATAAAAACATCACAATAATCCACAAGTAATCCACACCACTCCAGTCCAGGCTGAGAAATGGCAACGACAACTTGCACGCGCTTCACCGACGAGTACCAGCTGTATGAAGAACTTGGAAAGTAAGATTTGCTTTCTCTGCTGGTGTTTGTGCGTAACCCGAGTGTCTTATATCGATAGCACACATTTCTTGAATGTAAATGCATATGCAAAAGCCCAGAGGAGTTGTTAGGAAACATTAGAGGGAGTTGCGTTTATCTATACTAGTTATATACTAACTGCATTATTTAACTATATAGAGTGCATGATGATAAACAGCGATCTGGTGATCATTTTGAGAATGTTTGCTGCTTTTTGGCTTCAGAAATGCATTGAGTATCTGTGGGGAATCCTAAAGGCGTGTTGTCATGACTCGTGCATGTTAAAGTGAATGTTTGCATGTTTACTATATGCTTTTTGGCACGTCTGAACTCTGCATCTCGCGCAGGATGCACAAAAGAGCTGTCAGGAAACATCAGAGGGAGTTGCATTCAAATACTCCCACTACTGTGTTTATTTGAACTGTCACGTGTGTGTGCTCATAAACATAAGCCGTCAGGGGTTAATTTTGAGGATATTGCATGTTTTGTGGCCCCTCCGGTGCATTTCATGCAGAAAGCTCAGAGGAGCTGTCAGGAAACATTAGAGGGGAGTTGCGTTTAAATACACCCACCACTGTGCATATTAAAGTGAATATTTATGTGCATACAGTCTCTGATTATAAAAATTAGCATGCAGGTGTTAAAGGGGTCATATGATGCGATTTCAATTTTTTCTTTCTCTTTGGAGTGTTACAAGCTCTTGGTGCATAAAGAAGATCTGTAAAGTTGCAAAGACTAAAGTCTCAAAACCAAAGAGATATTCTTGATAAAAGTTCAGAGTTGGCCACACCTACCTAAAACGGCTCGTTCGAACACGCCCCCACATGTCTACATCACTATGTGGGAAGATTTGCATAACGCCGCCCAAATGTTCACGCAAAGAAAGAAGACGTAACTTTTATTCTCGCTGTAGTATTGTTGCTGCCGCCATGTCGTGAAGACGCTGTGTGCTTCGTTGTGAAAGCGAAACTACTTTGTTTGGTCTTCCAAAAGAGGACGATATCTGCTTCGTCATGCCTAGAGCTGATCCGTGCTGGTCGCTGAGGGAATACATCAACTTAGTGCTGCTCAGCTCACGCTGGCCCGCCGCCGGCTGTTCTGACTCACAGACTGCAAGTATATTTTAATTTAAAGGATTTGCCACTGATGATTCAAACGCGAATTTTGAGCAGTGTAGAGTAGCGTTAGTGCTTGTTTGTCATTTCTGATCACAAATGCAGACATGGTTTTGTTTGGTTTCGTATAAGTCATTATAATCCGTAATTTATGTCCCCACTGGATGCAACGTATGCCTCGTTTATAATGGGTTTTCATGTTTTTTGTCTTGTCGCTCCGGGAGACGGCATCACAGTATGGTGAGGGGCATAACATTTCCGTCTCACGCTTGAGGTATTCGGCCAATCATAACGCACTGGATAGCTGGCCAATCAGAGCACACCTCGCTTTTTCAGTCCGATGAGCTTTGTAAAAATCGAGGCGTTTCAGAAAGGCGGGGCATAGAGGAGAAACAATAATGTACAGTATGTGGAAAATAATGTGTTTTTTTAACCTTAAACCACATAAACACATTTCATTACACCAAATAATGTTCTTTTTAGCAGCATCATATGACCCCTTTAAATCTGAGGATGTTGCATGCTTTTTATAAGCTGTCTGGAAAAATAGTGGGGAGTTGTTATGTGAGCTGTTATAGTGAGTGTATTGAATCAAAGATACAATATGAACACGCAGGGGTTAATTTAAAGGATATTGCATGTTGATCTAGAGATATTGCATATCTAGAATGCGTATGAGAGTTGCATTAATATGCATGGAAGTATTCAACATAATCATGAGGATATTTCATGGTGCATTTCATGCAGAAAGCTCAGAGGAGCTGTCAGGAAACATTAGAGCGACTTACAGTGAGTATATTTCATATGTCTGATCATAATGATCAGTTCTCAAAGGGTTACTTGGAGGTTATGTTCAGGGTGGTACATTTGAGAGTTTAATCAGACCAATAGGTCGCTACATTGTATCTCTACACTCTTGGAAAAAACGTGCAAAGACGTTGCTGGGGTGGGATCCTAAGGTAAAAAAATCTAAAAGGTACATTATTTACCCCTAAGTGCAACATATTAGTACCTTAAAATACACATTAGTACTTTAAAAGTACATATTGGTACATTGTTGTACTTTTTTTCTCATGTGAAGGGTTGATACAATGTATCAAGAGTTCTATAATGAAGGAACGTTACAATGTATCATAAACTCTGGGAAGCTGTGAAGGGTCGCTACATTGTGTCGTTCTGTCCTGTGACATTTGGAGCTGTGAGAGCTTTCCCCGGCGGCTGTTTGCTGTCTGTAATCTGTGTGTGTGTGTGTGTGTGACATGCCTGCGGCCTGACGTTAGGAAATAATTTTACTCTCTCAGCTCCTCTTCTCCTCCAGTCAGTCAGTATTGTGTTTCTTTCACTGATAAAAAGGATTTTGCGGTGAAGTAAATACTACATAAAAACAAATGTAATTTCTACATTAAATAATTTAGTTCAGGCAAGAATAAAAAAAATACAGTACATTTTCTAACCTTTAAAAGGTTCAAATGTTCACTGTTTTCGAGTTGTATTTACACTGTTTTATGGTTGCTTTTGTCGTTAGGTTTAGTAACTTACTGTTTTGTGATATCTGGAGTTAATTTTCTACTCAAAATGACCCATTTATACTCAAACACTGTCCACTGATTGTTACTGTCATTGTGTATGGTGTACCAAGTATTGAGGTCTCTGTGTTCAATTATAGGTAATAATTATATTGAGTGGGCTTATTATCTTCAAAGGATGACAAGCTGTCTACTTGCTTACTTACATGTTTGCAAGTGAACCACATGCTTTAATAGCATGGTTGTTTTCCAGTGCTACATTGTTTGAGTACATTTTATAAACTGTAACTGAGGGAAATGTACTTGAGTATAGCATATTTAACAAAATAA